GGGAGAGATGCAACTGTAAATAGTTTTCCTTTTAACAATTTTCCATCCTTTTACTCCCCCAAAAAAGCCCAAAACAAATAAAACCAAAATCTTCAAGTTTTTTTTTTAACTCTTGGGGGGGAAAAAAAAAAACCAAACCCAAAAAAATTTTTTTTTTAAAAAATTTTATTTTTTTCTTTAATTTTCTGGTCTTTCCCTGCACAGACATTTTTTTCCCCAGGGCGCATTCTTTTTTAAAATGCCTGAAATCAAGCCCACATTCGGGCCGCCTAAGCCCCCCAGCTGCCTTGTGCTTTTGAATGAAACTTTTCTTTGTATGCGATGTCACCTGCAGGCTTTCTGGTTGCCTGTTTCCGAAATTTTGTAGATGAGCAAGTTACTTGTCCCCCCTCGAATGAACCCAGGTTGGCGTGATATACCATGCTTTTTCATGCATCGATAATTAAGCTGGAATGATTGCTGTCGTAGATCGATTCTGGAAATGCCTCACCTGTTTTCTTTTCTTAGTCGAAGTCCTTAAATTGTTAATTCAAGTTTTTATCTAAATATGCCCTCTCTCTCTGTCGTGTCTTCAAGATCATCCCATATTAATGTAATGGTCCAATAGTTTAATTGTATCTTGTATTTTTCGAAGGGAAAAAAATAAAAGAAGGAAAAAAAAGCTACATGTTGAATGATTCTTTTGAGCAGTAATGCGTGTTGTATTTCTTAAAGCAACCAGTTGGTATGGCGTTTGTAACGAATTTTGCATAATTATTGATTTTGATTAATTGATATATTTTAACAATGATTCCTATATATAGAAGAGAGGATGCTTGGGAAGAGAATAGGTATGGTAGTAGGTACTCAAGCAGTCAGCGGTGAGGGTAGTGAGAATAGGTGAGTACGGTGAGTGTGTAGTAGTGTAGAGTGGTAGGTGTGTACTAGTGAAACTTTTTAACACGCATCCCCCATAAACTCAAGGGGGATAGGAACTAACTCCAACTGAGTTTGGAGAGAGATAAACAAGAACAAAGAAAATACATAACACATAAAAGAGGATATGGAGACACTGTATGGTCGTGTCAAGAACCATTGTGAAGCACACTCGGACTCGGTGGTGTCATAACACGGTTTAGAGGAACACTGTATGGGGTGTCATAACGTTGTAGAGGACACTCGTATGGTGGTGTCATACACCGGTTGTAGAGGAACACCAGATGCTGGTGTCAAGACCATCTACGAAGACAGTATGGGTCCATGTCGGACGTTGTAGCAGACACAATGTTGTCGGCCACAGTTTACAACGAGTCTGCTGGACTCTTGTAGAACACGTAACCGAATCAATGGTCGGCACAGTGTTACAGGTCTTAGTCGCGACCATGTCAGACAACTAACCGGAGATCAAATGTCGGCGACACGTTTACAGAAGTCTTGTCGGACGCTATGAAGGAGCTAATCCGGAATCATGTCGGGACAGTTTAACAAGTAGTCCTTGTCGGACCCCTAAAACAGTCCGCACCCATCTAAAACGGTGGTGCCGCCAAGTCTGTCAACAAGCGTGCATCAAACAAGGCGTGCCCATACTCCATAAAAAGGTTCTGACATGAATGCCGAGGCTCATGTGAGTGCCTTGGCTGCGCGCGACCGTTTGTCGTCTGCGTCACTCGCGGAGCCGACACGCTATAGGCCGCCCTCGGCCTATTTAACAACGACGGCCGGCTGAGGCTGAACGTGCTGAGGCAAGGCTTGAGACAGAAAAATCTGAGAGAAACCTCATGAAAAAATTCTTCCTTTTGCCTGAGCAGAGAAACTCGTAAGTACGTCTGCTACACACTCCGTGTTGCCCTCAGAAAATGGCTTCGTCTTCCCGTGGGCTGCTCACTCTCTTTCACGACCTTCCACTGAGTCAACAAGAGAGAGAACTGGTCGCGGTGGCAGTTGAACTCAACCAAGACACCTCTGTGTCTTGCTCCGTTGAAGCTGTTCCGATGCGGGGTGCTGTGGAGCAAGAAATTGGGCGGTGCAAAACTGATATGAAGGCAATGCAGTTAATACTCTGAAGTCATGTGTTGGAACCATGACTGCGGTCATCAAACTTGTCGCATCGCGGCTATTGCAGAGCAGGACCAAATGAGGTGCATACAGTTTAAAAAACCCCACGCACTGGCCTCTGCTACCACGCGATGTTACTTAGGATGCGCGAGCCAGAGATGCAAAGTGTGCTAAGGCAGAAAACAAGAGCTGAGCGGAGCTCACGTGATCGTCGCGATTCTTGGAGAGTACACCATCATGTTCGTAGTGGGGACGCGGAGGAGGCAACGTGCTTGGTGGTCTCAGGAACACGGAGGCAACACTGTCAAGCAGGCCGGCCAGACTGAGAGCAAGAAAGAAGAGACCGACGGCCGAGTAGAGCAAGAAAAATCCCGCCTGCATGGATGTGCGTTTCTTGCTTTTGTTTTTGTGTGAATGTCAAAGCTGTGATCCGGCGTGAATCCACACTGATATGAATAAAATCGACAAGATTCGTGAAAAGTTGTTGGTGTTATTTTTGTGGTGTCTGTTTTGTTTAACTAAGAAAAATAAAAAAAAAAGAAAACAATGGAGTAACGAAAAATAGTAGAAAAATAGTTGTGATGGGTGAGTAAGAAAACACCAGCAGTGTAGATTTTTTTTTTGTATCTTTTTGTATTTTTATTTTTACTTTTTTTTTGTCTATTTTATTTTATTTTTTTGGTGAAAATAAAAAAAAAAAATAATATATAACGAGAATGGAAAAACGGGGGATTGCTCATTAACCAGGAGCAGGGAAAATATATTAATAAAAAATATAGTAATATGACTATACTATTAAAAATAAGTAAAAGAAAAAGGTGAAAGAATGTGGGTGGAATAAATTAAGAGAAATGAGAGATATGATTAAAGTGGGTTTGAAAGTGGGAAAAGATGAGAGAGAGGGATGTCCCGTATGTGTGTGTATGGGGCAGTGTGTGGAGTGTGTGCCCATGTGAAGGCCAAGCTTTTCAGTCGGCTGTTTGCAAAGAAAGAGATGCGCATATTGATGGTGGGTGGAGAATATGTTAGAATAGAATAGAAAAATATATGTCTCTCCCTGAACCATTTGTCTCTCGTCCCAAACAACAAAAGATGCCAGCTTGAAACCATACTTCAAGACCAGACACCACTCAAGCAAACCCACGTTCCTGCGATCCAAACGGGTTCCAAGTTCACAATGACCTAAAATGATACCGCCGTGCGCGTGGCTTTGGTTTCCTCTCCTTTGTAGTATCCGTCGCCCCAACCCAGCAAAGATCCGCCGGAGTAGTCGCCGGAGGAGGATTGCCAGAAGATGGCGTATGTCCAGCTTTCTCGAGCACCCTTGATGAGGGCTTGAAGGAGTTGCTGGAGAGGCGCTTGGTTGAAGAGCGGCGGCGAGAGGTGGTGGTTCGCGGTGGTGGAGTCGGAGGAAGACAGCGGTCAAGAAGAGTATATGCCTTGAGATTTCATTGCCATCCGCTCCACTCCGTCGTCCACCTTGGTGGGATCTGTCAATGGCGCCGGAAGGGTTAGTTTGATGTGTGAACCTCACCTCCCTGACTCACACTACTGCTGGTGATTGAAGAAGCAGAAGCCTGATCAGATTGCTGAACACTAGGATGAGAAGCGGGCCCACTCTTCGATAAAATCAAACCAACCGAACCACTAGATGTGCTTGTCGAAGAAGACATCCTGGTTGAAATGGCATCCTTGTTGGACCCCAAAATAAGTTCATGCCTCAACTCTGAAGAGGATGATGGAGCCAGAGTACCCATGGAAGATCCAACAGGGTAAGGAGCAACTGGCATATCAGCAAGAGAAGATGCAGATGAACTGTAACTCAGTGTTCCCAAGGGATGATCAAATTTGCATGAGGACCCAAATTTGCAAACTCCATTTTGAGCATAGTGTGTGCAAAGCTGGGCACCCGGACGTAAGGAAAGACCCATCGGACTAAGAACAAAATTCATTTGTGGCAAACTCCATTCTGGTGGATGATGGAGTGGGGTCCACGACTGTGTGAACAGCTTCATTCCTCTGGAATTGGTGATGTACCTCTCTCTCTCTCTCTCTGCTATTAATGTTAATAGGATGAAAAACTGATGGCTGAATGTGCGATGTGCAGTGTTGCTTGTATGTTGTGTGAATGGTGTGAAGAATTGGTGCAAGAATGGAAGAGAGAGACAAGAGTTCAGTTATGGAATTTGTGGCAGCGGATGGGAGGTATGTGTAGAGGTCCAGCGGGCGGCCAAGGCGAGGCTGCCGCCCGCCGGTGAAGCAGAATTACTAGTTTCTTAACTCGTGCTCTGATACCATGTAAGAATTTATGTATTATTGATTTTGATTATATTGATATATTACAATGATTCCTATTTATAGAAGAGAGGATGTGGGAAGAGAATAGGTGAGTGTGTAGTAGGTATGGAGTAGGTGAGGAGTAGGTGGAGAGTAGGTGAAGTAGGTGAGTGTGTAGTAGGTGGTAGTGGTAGGTGTGTAGTAGGTGAATTTTAACAGCGTTCATTTTGATATTGTGAATCCTTGATTTGATGGTTTTGAATGTTTTGAAATGTAAAATGACCTTTGTTTGTCGTTACTCAAGTATGATGCATCATTCGATAACTGACTTGGCCATTTTTCTTTCTTTAGCCTCCTTATTGTTCACCTGATGAAGATTCTTGTGACTTGGATGGCATTTGCAAGGATTGTACAACTGTAAGATCCCACTGTTTTATGTATTTGAAAACACATCCCAGTGTCCTTCTGTCAGTACTTTGTACTTTGTAGGGCTGAATGTACTTATGGGTGGGCTATCTTGCAATTAACAACTTACAACTTATGAAATGCAAAAGGAGTTATCTAAAACTAACATTGTGCAATTGTTCCAGTGCTTCCTTCACTCGGATCTGGATAATGGTCGTCCATCTACAGCTCAGTTCAAGGAGAAGCTGCCATGGTTCCTCAATGCACTGCCCTCTGCTGACTGTGCAAAGGGTGGCCGTGGGGCTTACACAAGCAGTGTGGATCTGAATGGTCTATTCTACTGCTTACACATATATATCTTGTCGTAATGTAATCAATCCAAAGAAATGTACTATGATGTAGTGCTTAAATATATAAGAACTTCCCTTTGGCTTGTATCATCAAATGAATTATTAACAGCTTTTACCCTGTTGTCAGGTTACGAGAGTGGTGTTATTCGAGCCTCTGAGTTTCGTACTTACCACACATCACTAAGGAAACAGGTACAGAAGGATCTTTTTAGTGGATTGATACTTTTGCTACTTTGCTTAACTTCACTCAGAGAATATTCCTCCTGATCTGCTTGTCCTTTTCTACAGGATGATTTTGTTAATTCAATGCATGCTGCACGAGAGTTTAGCTCAAGGGTTTTTGATTCTTTGAAGGTTCACAAATTTAACTTGCAGTTTTGTCCTGGAATATTCTTTTGCTGTTATAGTTGCATATGAATATGGTTTGGGGTATTGGCTTTCAGTGAAAGTACTTATTTGACAAACGTATAAAGTTATGGGTGTTCTTTTCCTTTATGAGATATAGACCATCTGCAATTATATGTCTACAGAACATAGAAAGTGACAAATCTACACTTGCCAAAGATGTTAATTTATTTGTTGGACTGTATTGGTTTTTCATATCGGAAGTGCTTCTCATTTCTTTGGTTTTTCTCTTCCCTTGTGTGCAGTCTATCCTTAGTATCAAAAGTATTCTAAGCAAATTATTTGAGACTTTCAATCAATACCTTGACTATGATTAATCTTTAACTGAGTTTCTGGAAATACATGTCAAACAAGATTCTAGACTAGGTGTTTGCTCATGTTATTTATTCAGTTGTGGTTAAAGCTTCATCAATTATACACTGCATAGAGACAATTTGTATTATTCTCTTGCAAGTCAGGTTTTGATTGAGATCCATTCTTGAGACAGTAACCAATTAATGCCATAACTCACGTAAGACATTTTTTGAAGAATAATTCCGGCTCACTTATGATGCAACATTAATTGCATTTTCCTGGTCAATTAGTTATGCAAGTGGGCTAATATTCCAAAATGTAACAAAATAAGTTGTTTGTAGGAAATCCTAGTAGCTTCTAATAAAATGTGTAATTTATGAACAATTTCTCTTGTTCATCTCTTGTTGCATTGGCAATTTCGCTGCCTAATAATTTGAGCTCTTCTTATCTTCTGAAATCAATGTTCCCTTCTTTCATTCTTGTTTGGAGTTATCCGCAATGCAAGTACTTAATTTTTCTTTTTATGCTTGAAGGCTCACAATGGTGATGAATTTTTTCCATTTTTATTCAATATATTCACAGAAGTTATTTGGAAGTGTACCCTTGCACCATGCATTTGGTTGACCCATTCATGGCCTGATCATTTAGATAATTCTTTATTGCATTTCCATTCATGGCCTAGTCGGTTAGATATTCTTTATGGTATTATTGACACATTCAATTTAAGTGGTAGTGCCAAGGAGAAGAGTAAATAAACAATCAACTCTCAAGATTATAGTAATTGGTTTTTCAAATGACTTGGGGCTGAGGCTCTATGCATGGGGCAATTTCTGTGTCTAAACAATATTTCTTTTTCTGGTGCGTGGCTTATGCTCACTTTATTGAAGCTTAGTGAGGCCCCTTCCAAACCTTTATCCCCCCAAAAAATTGTCTTTTGCTTTGAGTCTACTCCCTTGAACTCTTATCAATAGTTTTTTCTTCTTTTTTACTTGGGATATGGAATCTGACATAGGCAGACAGTATGTTCAGGTCTTTTACATCTTATTCTAAGCCTATGCTCTTGTCATGACGTATTCCAAAAAAAAAAAAAACACATGTGTTTTCTTATCACCCATCCACAACTATTTTTCTCTATTTTCTTTATCCATTGTTTTCTTTATTTTATTTTTCTTTATAAACAAAACAAACACACAAAATACCACCAACAACTTTTCACACTCTTGTCATTTTATTCATATCAAGGATCAACCCCGATCACACTTTTACATCACAAAAAAAAAAAAAGAAAAACACAACAAAACAAAAACCACATCCACAGGCGGGATTTTTCTTCTCTACTCGGCCGCCGGTCTCTTCTTCTTGCCTCCGTCCTGGGCGCCTTGCCTGTGTTGCCTCCGTGTTTCCCACTCCACAT